TAGTTTTCCGGATTGTAAATTTTCCTTTCAAATGACAGAGTTCTCATTTGTGGAGCCATGATGGCGCAGCAATCTCGGTTTCCGTATCCATTATATGCATATTTCATGGGTAAAACCACTGGAAATTTCAAGACATTTTTTCCTCTGTGATGCCGGCAGCAGAAATGCATCATATAATGCCAGCATTGATAGGGTTGATATATTTAAATTGGAGTTGGCAATTATTTTTTGCCGCATTCACCTTGTATATCAAACTGGTTTGTTTTAAGAGAATCATTTTATTAGCTGTGGAACTCGGAGAACGTAGAAAGGATGTATTTACGTAGATTTGGACTAACTTGGGCATCTTTTTACCGAACACCATCCTCGTTTGTGGAAGATTTTAATGTTGGTCTTCTCATGATGACAAAAGAGTAAAGTTTTTTTTTTATAAAAAAAGAAAAATTCAACGGATCTTGACAGCACAATTGAATGTAATATTTTTTATTATATTATTATAATTGAGGAAATTGTAAATGCAAAATGATAAGGCTAAATTCTACTAATTCTTTTTTCTTTTTTCCAGTGCCCGCTTGGTTTCATGTTAGCTAGTACATCCGTCTGCGCTAAGAAGTAAGTTATATTATTTTTTATTTAAATTTTTTTAAAAAATATTAAAAGTATGATGATTGTTTGAATGGTATATTAAATTTAATTGAGCTGTTTGATTTTTAAACCTGTGAACATGATTTCTTATCTAAGTCGAATTTTAAATTAAATCGTTTAAAAACTAACCCAAAATGAATCATTTAATTTAATGGGTTTAAAAAAATTTGAATGACCAGTAAAAATATAACATGATTTTTAAAAAAATATTAAGACGACAATATTTTTTTAACATTGAAATAATGCTAAATTGGATCGATTTCGATTACATTATGACCTCAATCATGAATTTCAATAAATAAAAATATCTTTATTTATTTGTAAATTATTTTTATTTAATTTTATGATAAAATTAGATGGCTTCAAAATTGAGCATCAATCCTAAAAAAATATTTATTTGAAATCGTAATAACTTTTTAAAAAGTAGAAAAAAACTAAACCATAAATTCTATTTTCCAACCAATCCAATATTAAAGAAAAATAAAATAAAAAATAATTAGAAAAATCAAAGGATGAAACTAATAAAAAAGCATATCAAGTTTGATAGGTAAACTCGTTAAACCCATGAATCAGATGACCGGAGTCATCACGTTAAACCCACAAATCAGGTAATAGATTCCATTGGGATTAATAACTTGTATTTTTTTTCTAAACTATTATTTATTTCATTATATGATAACATAAATAGACAATCGCAAAATCAAACTTCAAACCAACACCTAGATGTTTTTTAAGACTATAATAACCTCATAAAAAGTAAAATAAAAAATTATAAAAAATTATTTTTAATTAATCCAATGTTAAATGATAGAATTAAAAAAAAAAGATAAAATAAGTTAAACTCACCAAACTCATCTACTGACCCATGGATATTCTAAATATGAATAACATGTTTTTTTTTTCATATACTATTTTTAAAAAAAAAAACTATATGATAAAAAGCAAAATAGACGATCATATTATAAAGTTTAATTAAAAATAAAAGTTCTTTGCTAAACCCACTAATTATGAAAACCAGGATTATCTCATTAAACTCGCAAATCAGGTTATTGATTACACAAAATTTAATAATCTATTTTTTTTAAAAAAATTATTTTTTATTTAACTAAACTTTTTAAAAAATAGACCATACCATGATGTTGAAATAGTTTTCTAATACTAACTTAATGTTGAGATTTTTATTTTGATATCATGATAACCATATATAAAATTAAAATTAAAATAAATTATCAATTCTAAATATCCATAAACACATTATACAAGGTATAATGACTAAATTAAGAAAAATTCAATAACCAAAGGAAAAAGAAAAAAACATTATGAATTAATATAGTGATAATGAGAAACAATATTTTCTCTTTACCTTTTAGCTTTATATTTAATTTAATACATAATGGGTTGAGTTGTCTATATAAGTGTTTTTAAACCCGGTCAAAGGCTGGGGTAATGGATTTTGATCAAGTTATCCGGATCAATCTCAACTTTTTTTCCAAATTAAAATAACATCGTTTTGATAAAAAAAAAAAATAATCATTAGATTACAATTAGATTTTTGACCGAGTTAATTAGATTTTTAACTACCCTTATATTTTTACAAATTTATCCTGAATCAGTAAGATCCCGGGTTAAACTACTTGACTAGGTCAAGTTTTAAAACTATAGTCTATAGGAGTTGAACTACAGCATCATACTTTCAAGGCCTAAGCTATTAATATATGTTTAGTTTTATGATAACAATTAATTTTTAAAGTTTTTTTAAATATATTTTAAATATATTTTTTATATTTACACATTAAAATAATTTAAAAACATAAAAAAATAATTTTAAATTAAAAATTAAAATTTTTAAAAACGATGCTAGTAAAATTAGGCCTCACATACTTTTTCTCCAAACTCTTCCGGTGCATATATATTTTTAAATTAAGAGAGAGTCCGCCGCTTGTAAAATTAAAAACATATTATTATGCAGATCTGATTGGCGTGAAAGGAGGTCTAGAAATGTGATTTATTGGGGTTTATAATATACAATAAAGTCTATAATACAAATGTGATTTTTCCCCAAGACGAAAAATCCTGATTTCCAATGTATACTTGCGTGAAAGATAACGAAAAATCCTGATTTCCAATGTATACTTGCGTGAAAGATAACGAAAAACGGTATGCAACAAGATAAATATTTTCATAAGCTGATTGCAACATCTATTCTCACCAAACTACTTGTTAATACACAGTACTATATAATAAGACTCCAAGTCACTTCAAAATCCCATAATCAACACATACTAGAAGTCACTTCTTAAAATAAATAAATAAAAAAAATAAAAGACACAAAAACACAATATAAACACAACCAAGTTTGACTTTTCTTCAAGGGGGAACACATAAATGATAGTCAAACTCAGTTCAGGCTTGATGATCCTGTGTCGGGTGAGGTTGGCTGTGGTGATGTTGGTGACTTTGATGGAGACGACGACTTAAGATTCTTCCGGACATATTTCCTAGCCCAAACATGTTTTCCGTTAATGGTGAACTTTGCCTTGCCCTGTCCCAGGAGAACGTTATCAAGGATGGCCGCAGAGGGAACAACAAGGCGTGCATACAGTGGCTGCTCCTCTGCCGAAACTTCTTGCATATGTATTGCTTCAATACAATCTCCATGCTTTCTGTAACCACAAATTAACATTAATGTGATCAGTTGCTAATACAATTTCAGAATTTTCTTTCCCAATATCTATACATGCTAGAGATATCGATCGAGAGATTACTTGGTGAAATAGTCTCTGACTTCATCTTCTGAAATAGGGTACCCTTTGGAGAACGTCAAGAAAACAGTCCTACTATCAGGTTGCACTTCCTTTTGATCTTCCTTCTGGTCGCCAGCACTGATCTTTAGACGATTCAATACCCCAGCAACGTTCTCGGTGTTCAGAATCTGCCTCTGAAATGCAAGATCATAAGGATCATAACCAGGCAAAAATCCAGGGTGCCCTACATTAGGCCACATGAATCGTCGACTGATCCCCGTTTGACCATAAACACCATCAGCATTCGAATTACAGTACAGTACAGGATTAATCACTGGACCATAATAATTCAAAGGGTTCGTGATTTGACCAACAACATTTTCTGCAACATTACTTCCTCCTGCAACAGCCTTTCTCTCCATGACTTGCCGCGAGATATCTTCGAAAGCTCTTGCACAAACTTCATTGGTGATCTTCGCAACCGCTCGAAGAATGCCAAGTCGATTGTCATGGAAAAACCGAAGAGAGAAACCAGTTTTTGTCAACTGTTGAGTCAAAGGAATTTCATCGTTCATAGTTTCTAGAGAAAAATCAAACCGGTCCGTCTCTATGCAACTCAAGCAAAGAACAGCCTCGTCTGCTAGTGAATTGATAAGGGTATCAGGCAATGACAGCATTCTTTTCACTAAATTACCACGTGCCTCCCTTTCAAGCCAAATCCACAAGGCCATGACTTGCATTGAGTCTGCGGGGTCGCGGTCAAGATTGACAACTAGTCTAGTATAAAGAGTTCGGTCTATGGTGTGAAAAATCTTGAACTCTTCTGGACTCACCATAGGATTCAAAACAGAAGAAGAAGCAGAAGAAGAAGAAGATTCCATAGCTGTTTAACTGTGATTTGGTACTCTTAAATGAGAGAGAACAAGGGGAAACACTAGTGTGTATTCTTATAGAGATGAAAGAACACAATCGTCGGATTTGAGTTGTGACTTAAGGGAATGAAGGGGTATGCTTTTGGAGAGTTGCCATTTTTCTTTTGCAGAAATGGTATGTTCGTTTTAGTTTCCGTAAAAGGTTTCAATAGCAGCGTTCAAAATTAATGTTCTTGGTTGGAGATGTGTCGGGTTCGATGTATCAAAATTCTTATCTCACAGTGCAATGCAGCCAGGGCAGAAGTTTCTTGTTTTTTCCTCAAAGTGTTCTTGTTCGGTGCCTTTTTTTTAAATATTTTTATTTAAAATATTTTTTTTTAATTTTTATATTAATAATGTTATATTATTAAAAAAATAAAATAAAAATAAATATTCTTAAGACACAATAATACCAAAGAAATGTTTGAGAATATAATTATAATTATTTTTTAAAATATTTTTGTTTGGAAATATATTAAAATAATATTTTTTATTTTTTTAAAATTTATTTTTGATGAAAATATTAAAATAATTAATTTAAAAAATATATTCTTTTAATTTTTTTCAAAAATATTTTTAAATTAAAAAAAAGGAACTAAATACTTTATCAATCAAATTATAAAAAATAAGGTTGGATGCACTGTTATAGGGAGAGTTTAATTCGATATACCGTCCAATTCAATTAAAAATCTGATCCCCGTCCAGGTTCAAATCCCAAATTTCTTGGATTAAACTAGCCAATCGAATCGGTTTAATTACTACACTACCAAGTCTCAAACGTAAAGAAGACTCAGAAATCAGAATACAGTTAAAAGCACTACTACTTCCACGTCATTTTTGCAATTTCAGTTCCCGTGATCGTAACAAGCCAGCAAGAATGACAAGCACCGGATTCCTCTACAGCAAGGGCATGATTTTCTACCCGCCAGACACACCTCCCATCTCCACCTTCCTCGAATCCAATCCAGGAGCTTACACCACCACACGGACACACAACAATTCAGCATCTCTCTTATTCTGGGACCGACACTTACAACGACTTTCAAACTCTGTCAAAATCCTATTAACCTCAAACCCACAATTTCTCTTCAAATCCTTAAACTCCACAATAAACCCCCTATTGACCCCTCCTCCACCGCCAAACCCCATGTGGGAATCGGCAATTAAGTCTCTCGTCAACGAGACGGTAAATAAAGTGTTGCCAGTTGCGTTGAGGGAGACGAGAAATGAAGGAGAGGAACTGGCAGTTACTGCTCTTGTTACTGGAAATACAGAGAATCTGAGTGAAGTTAAGGGAAATGCTTATGAGGCACTTGATGTTCATGTTCATGTTGGAAGCCATGTGCCTCACGTGTTTGGTGTTAAAGGAAATGGAGCAAGAGTAGCTGTGGTCGGTCCTGGGAGGGATATTGCAGAAGCTAAGTATTCTGATTGGGTTAGGTAAGAAAATTAAGCAAAGCAAAGTTTTTTTTTCAATATTATTTTTTCTTCGTTTTTTGTTGTTATTTTCGAGATGGGTTTTGTGAATTGTGATTTTTGAGGATGTGTGCAGGTTAAGGAAGTCTTTGGAAAAGTTGAGGCCTCCTTCTGTAACTGAGCTATTGTTGTCTAAAGATGGTGATCGAATACTTGAAGGTTGTGTCACGAATTTTTTTGTTGTTTGTCGCAAGGTGAGTGGTTGAGAATGTTAGAACAATGTTCAAGACTTTCATGCTAGGTGGTTACTCCTTTTTTTGGGTATGTGAATTGTGCTCTTTTGCGTATTGTTGATTTTCTAACTATGATTTGTCTTTTGTGCTTCCAGGATGACCGAAACGAGAAATATTTAGGTGGTAACGAAAACACATTTCCTTATGAAGTACAGACAGCTCCTATTGGTGACGGGGTCCTTCCCGGAGTCATACGTCAATTAGTAATTGAGTAAGTTTTTCCTTAATACATTTGAACCTATATGCAGAAGAGGTAGATGGCCTTTTCGCACAACAGAGTATATGTCATATGAGAGTTTGCTGTTGATTATAAAGGAGAAGTCTTTATAGCTCTGTAACGTTAATGTCGAAGACTGGAAATGTATTATTAAGGTGACCTTCATGGTTACAAATCTTCTATTCCTGGTGTGTGTTGAGCATTCATGATTTCATACTAATGTAATTAAAATTGTGGTTGCAAAATTTTATCTTAAAAAATCCTTGTAAAAAGCTTATCCTCGTAAAGTCAGGGACTGAACACTTGGGCAATACAAGATTCTGCATGGCCATGCTATTTGACTACATCCAAGTTTGGCATCGTTAAGCAATGCATTTGATTTTGATGAACTGAGAGTAATAATCATCTGACCTAGTTTTTTGTTTCAGAGTGTGCTTGAGCAAGGGAATTCCATTTCGAGAAGTTGCTCCATCATGGTCGGAGCATGAATTTTGGCAAGAAGCATTCATTACAAGTAAACCTTTTGGTTTTTACACATCTTCTTTGCTTTTAGCTTCTGTAGCTTTTGACTAGAACTCTCCACTTGATTAGTGATGTTCAAGAATCCGGTTTTATGATTTGTTAACGATAAATTTGAGTCCTAGCATTTGACAAGAAGTTTGGCATTGGCTGGTGGTCAGACCTTAGATGGCAACAGTTTAAGTTGCACAGTTGGACCCATGTAGCTCTGAAGTTTTATTGAGTTATGAAATGTAGTGTGAGGATCTTCAGATTCCCACTATCCTTTCTCTTTCTTATTTTCTAGTCATGGTTTCGGAATATGATTCCAGCTCCACTTATTTCTCAGCTTCTCTTCCCGTAAATATTTGTTTTACCTGCAGTTGACCCAGTCAAGTGATGTTGCAGGTAGCCTGAGAATAATACAGCGAGTGGAGAAAATTCAAGCTCCAAGTTCGTGGCAGTCATTGGAACTAAAAGCCCTTAAGGAGATCTCATGGGAGGAAAAGCAGTTCGAGGTGTGTGAATATATGGAATTTGTAAAACTGTGGCTTTCAGTAGCAGAAGCTATCTTTCCTCTTAACTACAACTATTTTGCTATTTTTTATTAGGAGGATCCTGGGATGATCACAGCATTGATCCAGGTACACCATCCATTTAAACTTCTTTCATGTGTAAGACTGCAAGCTCACGCATGTAGACGGAACAAACTAGTTATAAGTAGCAACCATTGCAAATATTAATCATACAATATCATTTTGAACTATTTACCCTAATTTATCAATTCATATTATTATGTTCTCATTCACTTTTTACCAGAAAGAGATCATGGAGAAGGCAGGCCTCTAAAGGGTATCCGTTCTAATGAAGGCCCCACGCTGCATGTCATTTAATTTGGGAAGTTCGGAAAAGTGCATGTCACACAATTTATCATGAAAAAGACCTGACGATATGTTTGTTTTATCACTTTCTGCGACAACAATTGTCAAAAAATGTTATCTTCTGTCTATTTTTCTCTGGAGAGGAGTTAGAATTTCTTCTTTCCAATGACTTTTGCCCTCTCTGTTTCCTCTGGCTTAGAATTTCTTTTCTTTGCAGTGACTTTTAGCTTCTCTGTTTCCGTTGGCTCTTTACACGTGATCTGAAAAGTCATTAGCTATATACTTGTAGTCATAGTATTTGCCAAATTTTACCCCTTGTTGTTCTGGGTGCTGATTGTTAGAACTTAATTCCAATGATTCTGGTGCATGATTGATACTCTTGTTCATTATCTTAGATAAATGATACCCTTTGTATATTGCCATGCCCACTATGCTTGCTTTCTGGCAAACTTTCGTTTCATTTCTTCTCCTAAACCAAACCCACTTCACTTTTTTTGCACTCAACACGCCATGGTCATGGCCTGGAGCATATTTAAACATCGCGATCCATTTTCCGGAATTACAAATCTTCTTGTTGTACCTACCATGTTCTATTTGGTTTTGCCTTCTAAAGGAAATCCGCGGCACGGCATTGTTCCATATTTGCAGATTGAAGGAAACTATCACGGATACTTGAGTAACAACTAAACCAAGTCAAATTATAGCCATTGTAACTTGTAAACCTTCTGCAAATCTACCCGCTCCAGTTGGTTTCCTTCACGCGTGGTAAAATTTGAGGATTTGATGCCTGAGTTGAATCCATGTTCTCCCAGAGGAATTGAGTGAATACCTGACTATCGAAAGGCACCTGCCCTGATAAATGGCAGAGATTTTGAATTATGATCCAGGCTTGTAGGTTTGGTGACTGAAATGCTGTTCTAGCCTGATTACCTGGACAGTCCATATCTTCGGAGACAGCAATACGTTCACCTCAGATGCTAACCATGAGACGCAGATCCTCACCAAGAATTTCTGTTCAATCTCGGGATATCTTCCATGATCAACACGAAGGTTTTGTGGGTGGCCCATTCCTCCCGTTCTGGAATTATTCGGCAGCAATTTTTTTCTCCCTTTTTTCTTTAATTAGTAATTCTATATTGCCGTAAAAAATAAAACATATATTGGGCCTTTAGACATTGGGTGTTAGAGCCCAAACACAAGACTAAACTGAACCCAAGGCCCATGGAAATTGGTCCAATAATAGCTACAAGTACCCAACTTAAAGTTACCTAAACCCACCCGCATGACAAGCGTAGCATTTACATGGAGAAGGCAACAAAAATCAGATTTGGCAGCATAATTGGTCGCCTTTGCACTACCAAGCAGTGGATTCCAGATCGCCAATGCTTTTATCAAACAATGAAAGTCTTCCATTTCAGAATCTCGGAGGAATTACTCGGCAATTATTCAAAGCCACTGCTATATTAAATAATTTATGTAAAAAAATTCAAGATATGAGATAGAAAAAACCTTGGTTTCAGCACGCCTAAAATCTGAGCGTTAAAACAAAATAAAATGAAAAACGTCAAATTGGTTAGAAATGAGATGAATTAAATAATAATAATAATAATAATTACACTAGCTTTTTGTCATTTTAGAAGAATTTTTTTAAAATCATAATTTTTTATTCTTTATTTTAAATTATTTTTTATGTTTTAGATTATTTTAATTTGATAATATTAAAAATAAATTTAAAAAATAAAAAAATATAATTTTAATATATTACTAAATAAAAAATATTTTAAAAAATAACTTTTATTTTACTCAATGAGAGCCAAAAAGGAACCAACGGTGTTGATAAACATTAAGCCAAACCAATAAAAGAAGGAAAATAAAATCCAGCAATCCCCGAACTACTATTTCCTTCCCCTCGCCTCCCTCTCCTCTTTTCTCCATCGTCAGATCTAAAAACTTTTCATTCTTTTCTTTCTCTGTTTCTCCCTCTCTCGCGCCAAATACAAAACCACCCTCTTCTCTCCCTCTTTCTTTCTCCAGGTAATACCTAACGACCTTCTCTCTCTCTCTCTCTCTAAAACCATCTCACCTAGGGTTTCGATCTCCTTCAATTCCACTCTCTTCTCTACTTTCCGTCTCAACATACGTATACTTGGCCGTTTCTGTAGGTGTATACGTATAGAAAGATGTCGTGTTGTCTTTGAATTTGTATTATACGTGTTATTTAGGGTTTAGTTTAATTAGAGTTGAATTAGAATAATTTGTTTTGGGTTGTGATTAGCATGTAATTGCTTTGAATTTTGAATTAATGCGGTGTATTTTTCTGATCAATGTGGAGGTTTTCTTAGTGAGATGGCGGATAATCCGACGAGTCCGGCGGCGGGGAGCCACGAGAGTGGTGGTGAGCAGAGCCCGCGGTCAGGGGTGAGAGAGCAGGATAGATACCTGCCAATTGCTAATATAAGTAGGATCATGAAGAAGGCGTTGCCAGCTAATGGAAAAATTGCCAAGGATGCTAAGGATACTGTTCAGGAATGTGTTTCTGAGTTTATTAGCTTCGTTACCAGCGAGTAAGTAAAAGTGATGATGATGTATCTCTTCTGTGATTGATTTTGGTTTCTGATTATTGAAAATTGTTTGCTCTTTTTGGTGGATTTTAATTCTTGGGGTAGTGGGATTCTGTGGAGAACTGTTTTTGGGGGTTTCGGGAAAATGGGATGCTTATTGCTATTTGGAAATGCAGATGGGACCTTGGAAGTATATCTTTTGTTTATCTGTTTGGTGTGTTTGGAATTAATGGTTTTCTTATTAATATAATTGTCGGTTAAGGTTTTAGTTTGTGCAATGAAATTTTGCCGCTTTGGGAAATTTAGGGTTCTTGGACCGAGAGTCTGGGTTTGTGAAATGTGATTGGATGTTGTTTTCTTTGGGCGTGTGATTAGTGTCAGAAGGAGAAGAGAAAGACAATCAATGGGGATGATTTGTTGTGGGCAATGGCAACATTAGGATTCGAGGAGTATATTGATCCACTTAAGGTGTACCTGGCTAGGTACCGGGAGGTAATTAGTCTTTGATTTTTAGGTCGTCTGTGCCCTAGTTTATGATTGATTTTTGTTTTAATTTATAGGTTGTTTTGGAATCTAATCTTCTGACTCTTCTTTTTTCTCTGGTTTTATTGGATGATGCAATGCCACAGCTGGAGGTAAATAACATTTTTTAATTAAAACACTGTTTCCTTCTCTTCTAGCTTAAGCAACTTCTATATAAATGTTCATATAAAAAATATGTTCTGTAAAGTTGGGAGTTATGTTTCAGCAACTTTGGCAGGGTGATGCAAAGGGATCTGCTAGAGGTGGAGATGGATCTTCTAAAAGGGAAGCAGTTGGGGGTCTGCCTGCTCAAAATGCACAGGTGAATTTTTGTAAACATGCTTTAGAGGTTGATTATTCTGTCCTTGTTGAAGTTTCACCAGCTTACCATATTGTTTTTTTCCTGCATTTGTGATGAACAACCACGTCAGTTTGCTCTTCAAGGATCCATGAATTATATAAGCCCACAAGTAATACTCTCTCTCTCTCTCTTACACACGCGCGCGCACACAGATTTTTAAACCAATGGAATATATTGTCAAATGTTAAACATTTAAACTAATAATATTAGAGAATTATAAATCTTCATTTATTGAATTATTTTTAAAAATAATTATGCAAATTCCTTTTCTCTTGGATTCAGAACTGTTGTCATTGGGTCAAATATAAATGACACATACTATGCAAGAATAATCAGTTCTTTTCTTCACAAAAAGAATATGTAGGAGCTCCTTCCGCCCTTGTTCCCAGAGTGTCTTCTTTTTTAATCCTGGAATGACAGGAAATTTTTTTTGACTAAGTTCTTGACAAAATGACATTGTAGATAGGTTAAAAAGTCACAGATGTAATACAGAAAAATGTGAGGCTAACTAATAATCGCAGAGGAAAATACAGAGAAAAGGGAGGGCGACCAATGTTTTGATGACTAAAAGCTTAGATGATTGAGTGAAAGTGGAAAAGTCTGTAAAAAAATATACATCTATTCTCTCACAATCATATTGATAAGTGGAGTAGATAGGGGTTCAGAAGGAAGAAAAAGAAATGTCTTTTACTATATTGGTCCAAACCAACCATAGTTGGGTAGTTATATAATCACCATAACTTTGTGACTTACTTGTATACATTTTCAAACAAGTAAGTTCTCAACCATCTGATTGTTAATGAAGTGAAAGAATGCATTTCTACTGGACTCAGGCTGTATGTGATTGTTGGGGATGCTGGTTTTTTAGATCTTGTGAGAAATATCTATCAGACAATGACATTTGCAGTTTTATGTTGCGTCTCGGAATTGAAGTAAATTATGGATTTTATTTTGGTTTTTTGAGATGAGCTTTACCTGTTTTTTATGAACTTCATACTAGAGGGTTTCTGTATGTATAGAAGGTGGGGCTTCTTGTCCTAAATCCCAGTACTATTATACCAGAATTGGTTTGGTGCCTCTAATTATGTCCAAGTAGCTTTCCCATGATCCTTGTAATTATCTCCTTTGAACACCCATTCTTGGAGAAAACATGTGTTGTCTGAAGTTATCATTGCTGATAAAGGCAGTTTCAAATTACTTGTCTTTAATCGTCCCATGAAACTACTCTGTTTTCAGAGTCTCTGGAAACAAAATAATCACCTTCAATAATCTATATGTCTGCTCTAATATGTGGGAAGTTTGTTGGATTCAAGTTGAATATTTGTGAACCTTGCAACCAGTCAACAACAATATTCTGCTAGTAAACACTTGATATGCTGTTGAAGAGCCCCTGGCAGCCTAAATTAAATCCTTCCCTTTTCCCATTCTTATAGTAGCATCATTTTGCAGTGCGCTCTAGCATGCTGGAATGACTTATGGTTGACTGTGAGTTTGTTTGGGACAGGGCTACTATCTGAGGACATCCTACTATTGAAACAAGACTTTTTTGTCTTTCATTTATAATTTAGACAGCATCATTTATGTGAAGGAAAAAAAAAATCTTGATAGGCATAAGGTATTGCTTGAAACCAAGTGAAAACTTGATAGGCATAAAGGGACGGCCAAACTTTGCCTTCCCTTCTTCCTGACCAATTCTGACTACATTATTCCTCCACCTCTTTGCAAACTTCTTGCAGGGAACTTGAGCCTGTATTGTACATGTTGCCTTTTATGATGATTCTGACATGATTGGTCATTGATCCAATGCTCGGTTTAATCCAAGTATGGGTTGGTAATTGTTTCGTAGACCTGGTTTAGTTATGTGGGAAATCATATTTGACTTGGTGATAGAATTTTTTGACACTGTGTTAGTCTTAAGATGGTCTGGATGTTGCTCT